CATGGATGTACTGGCTGCTTTTAGAGGCTTGTGCTTGTCTGGGGAAGAACAGCGTGTTTGACTGGCCCAGCGCTGAGGATTTATTAGCACTGTCCAGGGGCCCCGTTCTCTTTGCTGCAGTTCTCTTTGAGCGATAATAGAGCAGAAATGGGAAAAAATGTAGTAAGAACTTTAAATAATTTTATTTTTAAAAATGTATTTATTTACATGCTAAATCTGTACAATATGCAATTAAAAATCCATATATGGTTTTAAAAAAAAAAAAAAAGGAAAAAAACTAACCCAAAACATATACAATATGGCTTTACACACCAACAGACTAGCTCTCAGAGTAGCCTGTCTGGCACGGCAAGGGTACAACGATGCATTCTTTCATAGACCAGTACGTAAGGCTACTTGTCCAGGATATAAAATAAAATAAAATAGAAGAAAAATACTGCAGTACCATGCCTTAGGAGGACTAGAGTAGTGAGGTTAAAGGCATGAAAGTTTTGGAGTGGTGGTGAACGCACACCAGCACTCACGTTTGGTTTCCTTGGTTCGTTTTAAATGCATGATTAAGGAGGCTCTTGTGAAACCCCACCTATCTGCTTCACTTTCAGAATCCTTTTAAGCACCGTGACACTAACTGTCCTGTGGCCAGAGGTAAATGCTTTGTGAAAGATCATTATTTTATTTGCGGCAGCTGTACAGAAATACCGGAACTGTCAAAGATGACCTATCAGTCACATGAGGTTTTAACTGCTGTTATTCCCATTTTAAATAGAAAACATCTCAGGGCTGTACCATCCTGCTCAGCCACTTACCTGCAGAAGCATTCTCGCCCTTGCTCGCTGAACAATTGTAACAGCAAACTGATCAGATTCCCCAAACTGGAGAAAAACTGTCAGGTTTTACGTGGACATCTGTCACTAGCTGCATGCTGTTCGTTACACAATCACAGTCTGGACTTCCACCTCCCCCTCCTGGGAGGAAATCACAAACTCTCCTGTGTGTTCCATTATTTCAATGTCCTCGGATGCCACCATCGTCACCGTCGCTTCTTCCGTCTCGATGCTCCCCTCCGTTGTGAGCACCGCTCCTTCGCCGATGGCGGAGGCCAGCGTCATAGCCACCTGCTCCGTCAGGCTTTCGGGGGTCGCGATGGTGATGGTGTCCGCGGCGTCGGTGCTTACTTCCGAATTTTCTGCCACAGTGACGTTTTGTACGATGATCTGGTGACCGGAGTTTGCGTGATTTACTATTTGCTGCACAACCTTCATAATGTGGCTGTCAACCTACAGGAAGAGAAAAGAGGCCACCTGATTCCTGGGTGTGTTACACTCTGTTACAAGCGCAGACAATTCTTCCCGTGAATGGTGCCCGATGACCAGCAGGGCAGTACAAAAAGCAGCAGCGTTTAATTCTCTTGTGTATGGAGCCACGTGAGTCACTGGCCACCTCCCTCTGGGGGGATCTGGGGTTAACAGAGCTTGGCCAAACCCAGAGTGACCAGTTCCATGCTTTTATACAGACAGGGCTGCAAAACTACCTGAATTATTTGAAGTTGGGTTTATTTAGCATGACTTTTGGGTGCTAGAAGTGATTCGCTTCGCCTAAAGCAAGCCCCCAAAGCACTAGTTTATGTGGCTTTTTTACCTCATGTCTTGTTCCCTCTATTATTTCAGTAGCTTCGCTGGTCTCCATGTCTTCCGTAGCAGTCTGGAAAGACAAAATATGATTATTTCCTTTTTAGATTCTTACAGAAAAATCTTTTATTACCAAGAGATAAGACACTAAGATCCTTTACTAAAGTCTTCCTGTTCCCCTCTGTGATGCAGTAGCTTCTCTAAAGACAACTCCTCCTTGAAATTCCCCCAAAATCTCCTTATCAAGAGCTACTTAGAAGTGAGGCCAAGTGCTCACAGGTAACTCGGAGAATGTCCTCTCTCAGCAGGACTCAGCCAACTGCCAGATTTTTCTCCTATTGGAGAAGAGCTATGGCAGCACTGAGGGACTCTAAATGAACCGTGTTATTCTGCCCTGACGGGTACTGGCTTCTTGTCATGAGGAGGGAGAAAGCAAAACACGAAGTTCATTGCTTCTGGCAGCCTCTGCCAGTTGAAAACAACGAAGATCATTTCGGACACAATAAACTACGTAGAAACGGGAGGAAGGAGTAGGTAAAAGTTGAGGAAAAGCTGAAGGAAGTTTGTGAGGATGTAAACTCTGCTACAGCCAGAAGTTCTCAGCTGCCTCACAAACTACTGTCAGTCTACTCCCCATTCTCATTTTCCTGCCTGCATTCCCCACAGGCCTTAGGAAGGGCGGCCAAGCAGGAAACTTTTACTGACAAACTACGGTGCTGGCTTCAGGAGGAGAAGGCTGTTTGCCCTGCCTCGTACCTCGATGATGTATTCCTGAGTGTCTGCCACCACCGAAGAAAACTCCACCAACACAGTGTGAGGATCTTCAGAAATGACCGTCGCAGCCAAGTTGTCCGCTGACTGGCTTTCCTCAGACACCATCACTTCTTCCACCTCTTTCAAAGCAAGGAGGCAGCCACCTGAATGACATTCCCAAAGTGCCAGAGAAACACGTTACTTTTCACAACCATCTCCAATACCTGGAAAATACTACTCGGCACAAACGAGAGGCCAGCAGGAGGATGCTGCTGCTGAGTGCCCGGCAGGCAGACAACATCCCAGCGAGTCAGGCCAAGGAATGGTCTAGAAGAGGCCTGTGTGACCCCAGAACTGAGCCTCAAGCAGAGCAGCTGTCCGGCGTGATTGCAAAAAGCACACAACAAAACTTGAATGCGATAAATCTGTACAGCGCTTCAAAAGATGTATGCAAAGAACATAAAGTAAGACTTTCAATATATTTTAAGTCACGTATCGTTTCTGCTTATGCATTACATTTCAGTATCTGTTTTTTGGGTTTTCTTCCTCTTCTGTAAACTTGTTCTTCACAATCTAAACACATCAGAGAATCATGGAATGACCTAGGCTGGAAGGGACCTTAGAGGTCATTTTAATCCAGCCTCCCCGTCGCCAGGGACACCACCTCTCGACTAGATCAGGCAACACATGGGGACCGAACGGCAATTGAACCTGCGACCTTGGCGTTGTCAGCGCCACGCTCAAGTGACTGAGCTAACCGGCCCCCTAAAATCCATACTGAGGAGCTAAAGGAGCTGCAGGTCCAGCACAGCGAGTCTGACCAAACAAGACTCTCTGTGAGAACTTAATTCCACTTAAGACATTTTCCTCACAAAAAATCCACACTTTGTGTTTTTAAAGGATTTCATAACCTCAAAATTAGTAAGAATTTAATGCAAAAAAACCCCCTCAATTGGCAAGCTGAACCACAGCAATACATGCGACGTTCTAAAGTTTACAGTCCTCATGCCTCTTCCCCAACACAGAAATCAAGCTCTCTTTGGCATTACTTTGTGAAAACATTAAATTTTTTTTCTCCTCTTTGTCTGTAGCCTTGGAACAGACCCATTTCACAGTTCAGTACAGCGCAGGGTCTGTCTTGCCCACGTAGGGCAGTGATGACACTGCAGAGACCACTTCAGCCGCAGTCTGGAGCAGAGAGCCCACAACACTCCTGCAGTTAAGATCCTTATGCAAATTCTGGTTTTGTTTTATTTAGATGATCTAGATTTTACGTTAGAACTGTCTAATGGCTCTTTGTTCCATCAAAGAGATCACAACAGAAATAACCCATTCATGGAGATGAAAAAAATTATAACACATCTCCTGATGCAGCGGAGCTGGAGATGAACGAACGGCCTCAGACAGAGCTCGTTAGATCCACCTTGAAAAATCATTACTGTTCAGCCAACAAGCAGCTTGTCCAACCCTAGAACCCCAAGGCAGACAAGCTTTGCCACCTCACCTTTGGTTTTTAAGTGCCTGTTGAGAGTGCCGTGCTCTGCAAAGCCTCGCCCGCACCGGTAACACTTGAAAGGTTTTTCCCCCGTGTGGTGCCGGATGTGTCGCACCAGCGAGCCCTTTTCCCGAAAGCCCCGGCTGCAGTACTGGCACACGTAGGGCTTATCCTCCAAATGCGTCCGGAAATGAACTTGCTGGGCGTTCTGTACGAAGAGAGAAGCAAGAGAAGGGCAGCTAAAGGAACAAGCTCGGGCAAATGGTATTTTAGCTTCCATGGTAGAAGTCAGTATCTTTGCAGACTTCTCATGTAAGACACAGTAAAGACTTGGTTGTATCATTATTAGTTGGTAGTTTTTCCCAAGCGCAAAGGAACAGTTTCTTCAAAAATGCAAAGGATTGATTAAGACTGTCCCTCTTTCCCCTGCTAAACCAAAACCTCCTTCTGGAGCTTTACGTCAGAGGCAGGTGAGCAGGCGTTTGTTCTTTCAGGAGCTAAACCTCCTGACTACCCGGTTCTTGAAAGGAAAACGTGAAAGCAAGCGATGGAGGCCCACCTTGGTCTTGTACCGCTTGCCACACTTGGGGCAGGAGTACGGCCGCTCGTCAGAGTGCACCCTGCGATGCCCCTTCACGTGGGCAATGGTCTTGTAGAGCTTGCCACACTCGCCGCAGCGGAAGCGCCGCTCGTTCACGTGCACCTCTTGGTGCTTCTTCAGCAGGTAGCCCTTGGTGAACTCTTTGCCGCACTCCTCGCACTTAAAAGGCTTGTAAGCTGGAGACCGAGAGAGAGAACGTGGTCGGTACAGGACAGCCAGCAGGAACAAGTGTCTGGCACGTGCTCTAACAGAATTAACTCAGCGAAGGAGGGAAATTACGTTTTCCACCTTGTGTGTGGCCTTTGTCTCATTCATAAGTGAATTCTGCTCAAATGCTGCTCTTCTAGCAGTTCCAGCCTGTCAGCCTGTTGTGCCTCACTTTTTATTGGCCTCTTCACAAAATTCTACTTTCAAGGATGCAGTGCAGGCCCCAAAACATGGAAACTGGGGGGTTTTTAATATTTCTTTTACCCTCCATTGTAGAGCTCAACCAAAACCAGCCTTGTCATATCGGTCAGTTAAGCGTCAACTGATTTTGTGTGGCAAACAGCCATGTAAAGGCAAGGAATTTGAAACAAAAAAACCGCTGTACTATGCTTAAGGTCACAGTAAAACACAGCACGGTTTAGACAACAGCATAAGCAGTAGAACTTTACCTAAATGACCTTTGATGTGTGTTTCGAGGGAAGCAGTTTCACTGAAGGCTTCATTACACTGAGAGCAAACGTAACTTTTGGACCCATTTGTTCTTTCTGCATCTGTCTATTGGAAAGAAACGGTACAACATAAGTATTTTTGGTACTCGGGTGTACAGTAAGCATCGCTAACCACATTCCCAATTAAATGCTCCTGTCTTGTTAACAGGGGAGAGAGGGCATGTGCGTACTAAAGCACACGTGAAAAATCTAACTGTAAAAACTGACACCAAGATTCGGGCACAGGGAGCATCCTGGGTGGGGTGTGGAGGCTCACACCACTCTCCACAACCAAGTACAAGCAAGGAAGAGTAGAAAATTAATCTCATTTATGGAATACAAACGTACAGACTCCGCTTGTTCGACTTTAACACACTGTTCCGCACACGGCTCCTCTTCTGCTTCCACCACTTCATTTTCTAGCTCTTCTGTGGCAGCTACAGCAGCTTCGTCTGGCTTTTGCATCTCCTCCACAGCGACTCTCTCGATCACAATCCCCGAATTCCTCATGGCCTGCCGCAGCAGGTTCTCGCTGTTCACTTCCCCCTCACACGGCAGCTCCTCAGGATTCGGCTGCTGAAGGGACACAGACTCTGGTAACCAGCCCGCCAAATAACACGGCCCTTTTTTTTTAAAGCAACACTGCTCCGGCCATCATTCTTTCTCAGGTGCTTAATGCTGTGATACAGGGTTGAAAGATCGACGAGGGAAAGGTCTTGGACCGGGGAGGCAGATGAGAACACCCAGTGCCAGGGTTGCTGCTGCCTTTATTCCTACCACAGATTCTCGTAGCAGGGAATGGTCAAAACCCTCTCACCTCCTGTACCCATGCAGGGCGCGGAGGTGAACCCCAGGCATCGCATCGCCCCGTGCGCCACACACGTGCTGCTAAGCCTCGGCAGCAGCAGATGGCCAGGCAAGGTCAGAGCAGAGTTTGCCTTTTCTGTTCTCTGATGAAAAGGCAGCTAATTAACCATTTACTCTGACCACACAATTTATTCTCGGCACCCAAGAACATTCTGTTTGTGAGGTGAAATACTTCGTTGCATAAAACACGCAGAATGTATTTAAACAAAGCAACGCTCACCTCTTGGTCCAGGGGTTTCGCATCTACGACGGGAAGTTCCTGCATTTGGACGTGGACTTCGTGAAGGACGTTGCCTTTCGCATCCGTCACGAGATGAATGACGGGCAAGGTCTCGATGGATTCACTTGCTATTGATGAAACGGTGTCTGTGGTTGAGCTACAGGATCCTTCAAGAAAAGCGGCACAATGAATCACTTGGCATCCCGCCAGCCTCACCAATTTGCTGTGCCCTACACAAAACACGTCTATTTATAGAGCACGAGGTGCCTGTTAAAGCTGTCTGCACCAGATTCTCAAATATTCTTCACGGCCAACACCTGGCTACGTGCGCTTCAGGTTAATAGCTCAGCTCTATAAATGACTTTTTCCTGTATAAAAATTATAACCTGAATGCCACAGAAGTGGGGTTTTTTTTTCAAAACAGAAAGAATTTACAGTTCAAGTGCTGGGAGCGTGCTTGGGTTTATCAGACACAAGGCAGGCACTGACAGCAGCACTGACCTGTTGGCAAATCATCCTTATTAACCACTATTTCTTTGTTCATGTTCAAGCGGATTTTTTCGGTGCAAGGCGTCAGAGATTTCAGGTGCCGAGTCAAAGCTCCTGACTCCCGGAAGCTTTTCCCGCATTTCTTGCATTTGTAAGGCCTTTCATCTGGAAACCACAAGAATCGAAACAAGAGCATTAAACTAACAACTGCCAGCATTAGCTCTGTGCCACAGACCGCCATGAGAACCCTGTCAGCTTTCTAGAGCGAGCAGCCTGCGCTTATCCCACGACCTCACGTTGCTCCCCTGCACCGCAAGCACCGGGGAGCCCCACGGTCCCAGCTCAGAAGATGGGAAGCGGCCAGAAATTCCACTGGAAGGTAATCTGGAGAACCATGCACGGCACCCTCCGGCACTGAGGAATTCTTACTTCGGAGAACCATCTTACCCGTGTGACACCGGTAGTGCCGAATCAGAGACCCTTTTGTCCTGAAGGAAGTTCCACAGAGTTTGCATTCATAGTCCTTCCTGCTGCTGTGCGTGATCATGTGAGCTTTGAGGATGCTGGCCTATGGAAAGAATTTCAGTTTAAGAGATGATCCAAATGCTTAAGGATTTTACATTTCGAACGTGCCTTTCGAAGGCGCAGTGGGCAGCAGAGAAATAAAGTTACCAGGCCTTGAGACGTTAACAGCCAGCCTAAACCCGAGCAGGGCAGAGGTGATACTCACTGTTTTAAAGGTCTTCTGGCACAGCTCACACACGTATCGCCCTTCTTTGTTAACCAGCAGCTTCACCTTTATCAGTTCTGTGGAAACATCCTGCTCCTGATCGTCAGGGTTGCCTTGCTCTTCGGGGACTTCCCCGGCAGCAGGACCATTTGGGTTTTCAAACACATGGTCTCCTGCCACAATTACTCCCTTGATGTGCCCGCTACCTGGGGAAAGAACAGGAAGACAGTTACGATTTTTTACAGAAGAAAGCTCGACACGACTAGATTGATTTACTGTTTCAGCGCTTCACGCAATAGGAAGGAGAAACAAGTACTTTAAAACTGGGCATTTGCCAAGTTCCCATTGCAGCATAAATATTAAAATGGACCCTTTGGGAATGGAGTTTTAAACCTAATTTGCCTTAATGTGGAGAGAACTGCAGAGCTGGCCCAGGAACGCCTCTCACACCTCTGAGGAACGCTCAGACCCAGGCCCAGTGCTCATAAACACCGAGGTGCCACGTACCCAACTACAGCCCAACTCAGGCAGAAGATTAACGAAGCTCCTACCCTGGCAGGGGTAGGGAGGCGAGTGCTGCAAAGCTCACCTACTATAGCAGACGCGCTGCTGATTTCCTCTGCTATCGAAGACGCTTCAACAACTATATGAGCGACAGTGATCGACTCCTCGACGGACGGAACAACCTGCTGTAACAGACGAGATTTTAGCAAAAAAGTTTTATTACCTGTATAAACATCGTATTCTGTTCTCTCCCCTCCAACCCAACAGACCGTTGCATCCTAATTATTTTCAGCCACGGCTTGAGGAGAAGCCTGCTGTCACCTTTTGTACTTCTCGGCTGACGAGACCCGCTGAGGCAGCAGCGAGAGCTTCTGGAGCTCGCTGGCAGACCTTTTGTAACTTGTGTTGCACGAACTCTTCCAAGGAGGTGAACTCCGACTGGCAGCGGCCGCACTTGTGCACGTCATCTTCATCTGCGATTTAAAATTCAGCCGTCGGTTTAGGAAAACGCG